TTCAGGCGTAGCCGAGGTGGAATCGCTGCTGCGCTTCTTGATTTCCTTGGCCATCATCCTCAAGAGGTGATCCAGGAATCGCTTCTCGATAGTATCTATGACATCAGAGGGATCGATGGCGTAGGCTTTGGTGTACTCCACAGCAGGGAAGAAGTTGAGCCTTACGTCGTACAGCTTGGCCAATGAAGCATTGATGCCCTTTCCAATGCGCTCGTTGACGGTTACCGTGTCAAGCACATGAGCAAGAGGCAAAACGCTAATTGACTTTGCAAACACCTCTCCCTCGGCTGCGGACAACTCAGGATGGAGAAGTAGTGTCATGGCCGGCGTTGAGATAGATCGGCTTGCCGTCATGAGGATCTCACGGAGACGTGGAATACCGAGCGTAACGTTCTTTGCGGAATGACCTGCCAAATGGAATGTGTTGAGGGTCATCTGTGTCGAAGGCTCTCCCACACTCTGGCCAGCAACAATGCCGACACCCTCACCAGCCTCAACGAGTGATCGCATGTACTTGGCGGCGAAAACAAGCTCTGCCGACTTTTTGCTGACAGCGGGTGCATCCACCAGGCCAGACGGGCCACTTGACTTGTCGCGGATGAGACCATCCTTGTTGTCTTTGATATACTTTGTCATTTTCTCGTAGAAGGATTCGGATGTCGCAAATGCTACTCTCGCAGGGTTGACCAGGGAAATAATGGGATCCTTGGCCCCGGGACTATCAAGCTTTGCGTGCTTGATAGCACTCTTCATATGCTTGAGAATCTCGTCCTTGGTGCCGGCAAATTGTTCCCTGAAGCCATTACTAAAATTAAGCTGGGCCGACTCGGAACCAACATTGCGGAGGATGAAGCTGAAGTCGGTCAGGTACTTCTGCTTAGTCGGGTCGAGACCGTCCTCGCCATAGAGGAATTGTACGAGGGTGCCGTCGGCATCTCGCACCGTCGAGTCATATGTCACTGTAAGTCCCTCCATACCCTTGATAATGCATCTTTGCAGGTAACCAGAGCGAGACGTCTTGACAGCTGTATCGATAAGACCTTCGCGACCAGCCATATGATGGAAGTAGTATTCTTGCGGTCGGATACCAGTCAAGAATCGCTGAACAATGTAGCCTCCTGCACGAACATTCGTCTCGAATGGCTTGAAACAGGGTAGAGACTTTCCGCTAACCATCAAAGGGACTCTTCTGCCCTCAAGAACTTGTTGTCCCAAGTTGCATGAAATGAGGTTAGCGTTGACCTGACTACCCTTGGCACCAGAGGTTGTCATAGACTGCATCTGGTTTTTGGGGAACTGCTTCACCAGACCGACGGGAAGGCAAGCTGCTGTAACCGCGCTCGAAACGACGCCACCGCTCTGGTTCATAAGCAGATCGAGACCTTCTTGCTTAGTGTCGTCGCGCATGACCTCCTCCAGGCGAGTGAGCAGTTCCCGGTCTGTGCTCGTTGGTGCCTTGTCCTCCAGTGAAACGTATTTGGCTGCAACTTGGAGTCCGACGTCCTTCGCTGCCTTCAATGCCTCCTTTCGAGCCTGCTCACCTTCCGATGTGAGCCGCAAATCGTCCATGCCGCAAGTAAAGGCCCTCATGTTAAGGTAGCGAGTGAGGAGGCGGCCCATGGCACTGAGCAACTTGCCCGCAACAGCAGGCCCATAGACTTCATGAATGGAATGGACCAGACCGCCTGAACTAGGACCCAGGTGGGCTTTGTCAAGAATACCAGTGAGGAACTGTCCGTCCTGGAACAAAACTGAGCCCTCTTCCAGATGACCTTTGCCCCATTGCTCGCCCTTGACTTGACACTTTCCAGACATCCAGAGCCCTTCTCCATTTGGTGGCTTGATGTTCTTCAAGATCGTGCTGATGACCTGCTTTCCTGTCCATCTAGGTCTTGGCTTGATGACTGCCGGAGGAAGGAGCTCAATTCTCTCGCCAAGGATATGACCACTCTCTGGACGGAGGGCGGAGTAGATGAGCTGCTGGTATGAGTCTCGGTCGAAGAAGGTATCCTTGTTGCAAAGAGCAACAGAGACCGAAAGATGGTCCTGAATCAAACCACGGAGAGGCTTGCCTGCCGTGCCAGACAGATATTGATGGTCTGTGTCGGCGATCTGAAGAGCCTCAGCTCTGGCAACCTCGTTCTGGGGGAAGTGCATGTTCATCTCGTCGCCGTCGAAATCAGCATTGTACGTATTACAATTGGCGTAGTGCATTCGGATTGTTTTCTCTCCTGGCAACACGCGAACTCGGTGACCCATGATTGACGGCTTGTGAAGTGTCGGCTGACGGTTCATCAAAACAACATCGCCGTTCGTCAAATGTCGGTAAACCTTCTTGCCTTTCATGCCACTCAACTGGGCGTTGGTCGGCGTGAGGAGCTGGTTGGCAAGAGACTGGCGGTCATCTGCAGACTTGGATCGAAGGTTGACGATTTGTCCGTTCTCGTACTCAATAGCAGCCGCGCCGGGCCACTTGTCGACACCATTTATAACGGCTTGCTGCAGATCTTTGAAGTTGTGGCTCGTGACGGGCTCGGGGTATGTAAGTTTGCGTGCAAAAACGGGAGGCACACCAATCTCGTTGGTCTCGATATTAGGGTCGGGGGAAATGACGCTGCGGGCAGCGAAGTTGACTCGCTTTCCCATCATGTTCTTTCGGAAAAGGCCCTCTTTTTTCTCCAGCTTCTGCTTGATGCCATCTTCGTTCCTTTTCGCAGCTGCGCCTTGGACGGGGTTTTTGCTCTTGTCGATCAGAGAGTTGACAGACTCTTGCAATTCCGTCCATACTTGGTGCAAATCGTTGATGTCTCTTGCTCTCCCGTACTGGTCTGTGCCACCCACGCTTTGGTGTATTCTCGCAATGCTACCGCAGTTTCGCATGATCATCTTGTAGAGGGAATTCTGCTGGGCCTCAGAAATCTGAGAATCGCCAGTTCGAGCTTCGGGTCGGAACTTGTTGGGGGGAACAAGGATGGTTCGGATGAAGAACATGTCGGCAGACACTTTAGCTGCCTTCTTGGTCACTGGCTTCGAGTTGTAGACGAGGGACATAATGTCTTGTTCCTTGTCGAATAACTCCCTCAGACGTGCGCGAACTTCCATTGCACTAAGGTATCGCTGCTGACCGGGGGTTTGACGGACGGCATGAACTCTAGACTCTGCCTCCTCCTTCTCGAGGTCGTCGTCATGAGCATCACGCATGTCAACGTCGTTTTCCTCGCTCGATGAGTTTGTATCAACGTCGGCAATACCTTCGTCGGTGTCGGTGTTGCCGCGCTTCGACTTGCGCTGGTGAGCTGCTGTCGCCATGGAGTCCTTGAGGTGTAGGTTTTTCTGTGCCATTTGACCCATATCCTTCTCGCTAAGGGCCTTTTCGAATATCTTGACAAAGCGGTCCTTTCGGTAGGTAGGCGATATACCGCCACAGTTGTCGCATCGTTTGGACTTGGTGATTTGTGTCAGGAAGTCCTTGATGAGCTCTCTCCTCATTTCGATAGCACCTTCGTGCTTGCCCTTCCTGACCTCGCCCAGATTGAGCCTGTGTGATTTGAGAGATTGGCGAACGTATACCTCTCGGGCCCCAATAATGTTGTCGACCGTGGAGGTGCCCTCTTCTTCTGCCTCGCTCTCGTAATCCGTGGGCACACCCGGGAGTGCAAGGCCCTTAAGCTCTTCTCCAATAGCATCAACCAAGTGAGCCTCGTGCAAGAGGCCATATTGCAGCAATCGAAGTTTGCAGGAGTATCGATTGATTTCGCGATGGCGCATGCGGAAACCTTTGCAGTAGACGCATTGCGACCTCAGAAGACGGAGAACCTGGTCAAGAAATACAGGATGGTATACCGGCACGGGGAGCTCGATGTGGCCGGCGTGGCCCGGGCATGAAGACTGGTTCAAGTTACAGGTTGCACAGCTGTGAAGAGACGTGTAAGTCAATTGAGCCAAGGACAAGGGATATTCGGGGCATTTCATACAGAGCATCGCCCCATGATCCAAGAGCAGGATCATAGAGACCACCAGGAACGGGGTTCAGAAGGTTGTCGAATGTGCTGTCGTTCTCAATGCGCTTGACCGAGATTGCTCTGATTTCTTCCTCGGTGAGGAATGTGAATTCGACCGTCTCGACAGACGACGAAACGGGTTGAGAGATGTTCATGTTGCCGTTGAGGCGTCAGGTAATAGCCTGGCACCAATCTGGGTCGGAACGGCAGAAGGTGTGGTATCCGAAGCAAATTTTCCATACAGCTTCCGCTTCAAAGAGGCACTCGCTCGATCGCAAATGCAATACAACCGGGGCGGATGGTCCAGAGCAGCAACCCTCGGTGGGAGACCGAGGGGAACTTTTTTTTTTGGGCGGTGGTGGTCGGCAGAACGGAGACCCGCCTCTGTCTAGTGGGTCCTGCACTGTTTTTTTGCCTGCCACTGTGCTATCGGCGCAAGGCAGCAAGGCATCTCAAAATGACCTGGAGGAACGGGACCTTCCAGGTTGCGATTAGGCTAGGTAGGTAAGGTACGGTACATGGCATACCTAGTGTTTACCACCTACGTACCTGTGTGCTGCACATTAGCCTGTGTGCCTGGGTTTACCTCACAACGGGCACTACGATAACATCGAGGTTACAGTGTTAACTGGATAATCACGTAGCCACTCTCTTGACCAGAGCCCACAGTAGGAGCGTCTCCCTCCAGCTCTCAAGAGACACTCCGTATTTCTCAACCACAACCTCCATCAGCCGTGCAACGGGGCCACTACCGAAAGCTCTTACGGACTCTACTGCCCATCCTCTTTGCCTTGGGATCACTGCGAATGATTTACCCTTCCGACCGCGATACACAATCAGCGAACTCTGCGAAGACGACCGGCTCAGAACGAGAGAGCGCCCAGGCTTACCCGACATCCGCCCGACGAAGCACGTGTATCTCCGGAAAGACGTGCATCCCATAATCTGGTTCATACGACCAGTCGTGGAGAAAAGTGGCAGCATATCAGCCTGGTCATAATGGATCGACAGTCAGACTCGTTAGGCCTTGGGCCTCGTCACGACCCCAACTCCCGGGTTTCGAAACCTGAATCGGCCGCCGATAAGATGGCTGCGCTCAAAGCCAGAGTCGCTGCAGCAGTCGGCGTCTCCAAGGCTAAAGGAGGACTTAACGTCGGATTACACCCAGTACTCGAGAGTCTCGGTCAGGCAAAGGCACCAGCTAGACCCAATGATGGAAAGCCATCCGGCAGTCGACTGCACTCTGACTCGAAGTTCTCGACTGGATTCAAAGCCCCAGATGCTACTGGGCGAGGCCGCGATGCGCCGCTATCCAACCCGTATTTCAACGACCAGCAGGCAGCACAGCCCGCAAGTGGAAGACAACGTCAGGCTCGGTCGCTAAATTTCCATGCCAAGGGCAAGTTCATCCAGCAAGCCGCGGCGCTGCGGCGACAAGCTGCCCTCGAGGAGATGAAGAAGAGAATCGCGGCGCAAACGAGGAAAGCCGGCATCGAAGATGAATTGGAGTTGGAGAAGAATCTTGTCGTCGACCCTCCTCCGGACATAGAATGGTTCGACGGTGGACTGGTCGACGGGACCTCTTACGACTGTATCGACGACGAATCCAAACTGAAGATCAAAGAAGATACCATCATCACGGAATATGTACAACACCCCGTCGCGTTGGAACCGCCGCAGGAGAAGAACACCCCAGCCCTGAAGCCGATGTACCTAACACCGAAAGAAATGGCCAAGACCAGGAGGCAGAGAAGGATGGCCGAACTCAAGGAGCAGCAAGCAAAGATCAGACTTGGACTAGTGCCAGCTCCACCCCCCAAAGTCAAGAAGAGCAACATGATGCGTGTTTACGCAGACTCTGCAGTGAAGGATCCTACGGCTGTGGAAAATCTCGTCAACAGGCAGATCGCTGAGCGCCAGCAGAATCACTTGGAGGCCAACGAAGAACGCAAGCTCACGAAGGAAGAGAAGCACGTCAAACTTGCTACGAACCAAGAAAAGGATGCTGCGAAAGGCATCCATATCTTGGTGTTCAAGATTGACAGTCTCGCCAACGGCCGGAATAGATTCAGGATCCAAAAGAATGCCGAACAGCATGCTCTCACGGGTATTTGCATCATGCACCCAAGGATGAACCTTGTCATTGTTGAAGGCGGCGAGCACAGCATACGCAAATACAAGAAGCTCATGCTTGAGCGGATTAACTGGACCGAAAATGCACATTCGCAAGAGGGGAAGACCCAACAACAGCTTCGCGAATGGCTGGTAGCGGAAAACGAGAGCGGCGATTTGAAGGACATGTCCCACAATGAGTGTAAGCTGGTGTTTGAAGGCGAAGAAAAGACGAGGGCCTACCGCAAGTGGGGAAGCAAGGTCTGCGAATCTGATGCCGAAGCCAGGGACGCGTTGGCCCGAGCCAAGATGGATAACTTTTGGGCTGTCGCGAAAAACATGTAATCAGAGATCCTCGCCAGTAATTAACGAAAGATTGTCACAGAAGAATAGAATACCAAGGAGACTTGCCTTTTTGTTTTGTTGAGCCCGTAGGTCATATCGGACAGCTAAGGCGTTCTCGCTCAGCTTCACTCGTCGTTGATATGGCTGTGATCATTACTTGTGAATAACCTAACAATCAAGTGCACTCAAAGTCTCGCCCTGGAAAAATAGGCTGGTCGTCCCTATCGAGAATTTGTTCCAGACTATTTGATCTAAGAGAATTGTTCTTCTCGCCCACCTCTTTTGCGAGCTGTACCTTCATCCATCAACGTTGAACGCCTCTGAAGTCACTGCAAAGTAAGCTATTGCTTACTGGAATATGACTCCGATGTGGTACATGCAATCTGAGTCAGCTTGGCCGTACCCGAACAGTGGACGGAGAAAGTCTGGCCATGGTCTACCGGCAACGCAACGGCCTCTTCATGCCAGCAGCTCTAGAACTGCAAGAGCAGCCTACTTTTTAGGAGAAGCGTGATCGGACTTGGGAAACAATAAGGCCCTGCCGGTACGATGGCTGCCTGAGCGGTCCGCTCTCCTCGCAACGTTGTACACCGCGTTTCCCCCCTTTCCATTTACGCAACATCTCCGCCAAGCAGCTTCAACAAAGGTCGCAGAGGCGGGACCGCGATCAAAAGAGCTATATATACTCAATCTAGCAGACAACAATGACAAGAGGTGCTTGAGGGGAGGGAAAACATATACAGGGACTTAGTCAAGACGGGATGCATTTATAGAAACATCACCAGCATACGTGCTATTGTTAGTTACTGTTGTCCACCTTCAAAAACGAGTTCTTGTCTATTGAGACACTACAGCGTCATAATAACAGGGCTTTCGTTGACTGCGGCGGGGAGAACGCGCCTGCCAGTATGTTGACCGCTTTGTACGCGTCGCACCCTCGAATTTTATTGTTGCTAGTCTCGCGAGTCGTTTTAATCGCGTCATGGCGGGATTTATATGCTTAAAAAAAATACGCGTGCTGACAATTGCGGCGATGATGCGGGTATTCAAGCGGATGCTCACGTTGTCTACGCGGGGCGATGTAGAGTAGTTCATAATGTTTGCCATTGCATGCAGTCATCCTTTACTGCTGGTTTAATGTACAACCCTTGCGTTATTCTGAAGAACGCATCGTTAAACGCCAGATTACCCCCAAAACCAAGACGGTCCCTTCGTCAAGCATTCCCAAACGCGCGAGTCATGAGCCACCCATGTGAAAAGAGAAAATCAAAAGACAGTCGCTTAGTTGCGCTCACCGCGGAGGCGGCGGGCGAGCTGGATGTCCTTGGACTGGATGGTGACACGCTTGGCGTGGATGGCGCACAGGTTGGTGTCCTCGAAGAGGGAGACGAGGTAAGACTCGACGGACTCCTGAAGAGCGCCAATGGCGGAGGACTGGAAGCGAAGATCGGACTTGAAGTCCTGGGCGATCTCACGAACCTGGGAAGGTAGTGTTAGACAATGCGAATCGAGAGGCGCGTTGTGCGAATCTTAACTTACCAGACGCTGGAAGGGGAGCTTGCGGATCAGAAGCTCGGTGGACTTCTGGTAGCGACGAATCTCACGGAGAGCGACGGTACCAGGCTTGTAGCGGTGAGGCTTCTTGACACCTCCGGTGGAGGGGGCGCTCTTGCGGGCGGCCTTGGAGGCGAGCTGCTTGCGGGGAGCCTTGCCACCAGTGGACTTACGGGCGGCTGTGGAGATAAGTCAGTAAAAAAGACTTGACTGAAGATGTCGCAAGGCAATAATGACTTACTCTGCTTGGTGCGGGCCATTGCTGCTGTTGTGTGTGATGATGGAGTTGATGGGTTTGTTTGTTGGTGATGATGTACCTGTTGGTTGATGTGGATGTGTTGTGAGTGGATGTAGAAGAGAAGGATGAGGAGTGGGTGACGGGTGGAGGGGAATAAATAGGTAGGGAGACGGAACGCGTGCAGAGGGGAGTGATTGTGCGCCAAATGGAGGGTGGCCTGTGCGCACCTTCCTGGTTTTGATCGGGTGGAGGGGAAGTGCCAGGTGTGAGCGTGGCAGGCGTGGGTTCTTTTTTGGAAAAATGCCGTTTTGGTAGGCGCGATTGCTTTGCAAGGCAGGCGCAGTTGGGCGGGTTTTTTGTGCTTTGTTGTCAAAACGGATAGTTAGCTCATTTTTGATTGGCTGGAAATCTTGCATCAAGTCTGACGCCACCCCATCTTTTTCTCTCAAACACCCGGTAGGGAAGAGTACGTATCTATCGTCTAGCGCCTCCTGGGGGCCCACTGTGGTCATACGCAAGGCACTGAAGGCAAGTCCTGCATATGCGGAATAGGTACCTTACCTTTCCCTTTAGACTATGCCCATCCAAGATTCAGCCCAGTGTTCCCCGTCTGCGGAAATTTCTATCTAAATGCGGGTTAGGCAAAAGCTACCAAAAGCACTCGCTCCAATGCTCGACCGCTTTACGTGTTGGGACTTGAGAAGTAACACGCGTGAGGGAATGAGCATCGAGACAGGCTAATACTAAGAGTGCTGTGGTTAATTCATCCGTTCTACCAGTGAATCTCAAAGGCTGTTTGTCATAGAAGACGAGAACAATCAACAAAGGTTTTCCGGGGTACGTCTATGTAATTCATCTACCCGCCCGTCGTGCAGATTAACATGAATGGCCATGAGCCAGTCCAAGTAATCTCTGCCCGGACTACTTGCATGGTATCTACAGAGTATTAGGCGTGACGCGGTCTCTGCGCGGCCGCGGCATCGTGAATCCTTGCGCGACTAGTGTGGAGGTTCAGTAAGACGATTTCTCGGTATCCGGGTCACTCTGGTGTATTACCTACCAAAGCTGGAGCCCGTGGATGGGTAAATGGGGCAGTGGGTGAAGCGACGCCTCAACTTGAGTTTGGAGGCAGCACAGGATTTAACTTGCGCGTGTTGACCTACATAGATGACTCAGGCGCACGACGAAGGCGAGAGCGTCTACCTATCGTCATGTCACCGGTCAGTCGGCCAATTGACTCGAATCGGAACACCCTTTTCGATGCTTCTACTACGTAGGTGTCGGCTGATGCGAAAAACAATTACCGATGCAGTCAGTACCTTGGGTAACATAATATGAGAGATTACTGTCTTTGACCAATACGGTCCGTAGTTTTAGCACAGAACTTGGAAGCAGTGGTTGCCTGCCACGCAGGTGACTGCCAGTGACATGATCGGTCCCTTGCGCTCAGGTGGAACAGCCGGAGGGGTAAATGCTGGCGTTTGCACTTTGCAGATGGAACCGAAGCCAGAAACACGGTTCTGATGGCACGCGGCGCGCCTAAGGTCTGGCACGGTGAACTTCAAAAGCAAAGTGGCAACTTGCAAGGAACGGTGAGAGAAGGAGGAGGAGGAAGGGAGCGGGACAGACGAGGGACGCTTTCTGGTTGGCTACATTTAATCGTACATATCCATCTCATGCTCCAATTGGGAATAAGCTGAGAGAGCCTGAGATTGATGAAGTACCGGGAAAGCTAGTGTGGCCCGTGCGGTTGTACGTTCATGGCGTTGTTTTTTTATTTTTCGCCTCGCGTCGCGACAGGGTGTGATCCAGCGTGATGGACGTGCCCGCTTTTCTCTGGCTGATCCCGAATCAGACTTGGCCCACGGACATTTGATATAAATGCCCGCCCCCCTCAGCGCGACTACAATGGTGTTCCCTCTTACTATTCAGCCCCACGTTATCTCTGCCAAAACAATCTTACACGCTATTTCCTCGGAAGAGCCTCGTCATATCCCAACCTTAAATCACTTCAACTTCATCACAATCCACAATGACTGGACGTACGTACCGATCCCGCATCGTACTTCTATCTTCCCCGGTATACTAACTTGATGTGATCAGGCGGCAAGGGCGGCAAGGGCCTCGGCAAGGGCGGTGCCAAGCGTCACCGCAAGATTTTGCGTGACAACATTCAGGGTATCACCAAGCCTGCTATCCGTCGTCTCGCTCGTCGTGGTGGTGTCAAGCGTATTTCTGCCAGTAAGTTTTAGCCCCAAGCTCGTCTCGGCTCGCGAGGGACTAACATGCCGTTCCTTCAGTGATCTACGAGGAGACCCGTGGTGTCCTCAAGTCCTTCCTCGAGGGTGTCATTCGTGATGCTGTCACCTACACTGAGCACGCCAAGCGCAAGACTGTCACTTCTCTTGATGTTGTCTACGCGTTGAAGCGCCAAGGCCGCACCTTGTACGGTTTCGGTGGTTAAGCGTCGTATTTCTGCATGTCTGTTACGAATCTTTCTTGGGCCATGACGCGATCCAACCCACGACGCGGTGGCCCATGCGGACTTTGGGAGTGGAGTGTTTTGTCACGAATGATCATGGGTTTGGCTGGTTTTGGGTGTTCTACTGTACCATACGGGAAACGGGGTTCTATACGGATGGCTTGGTTGGCTTGAGACATAATCCCTCGCCGAGGCACGTTTTGATCAATTTTTCTCGGTTCCCTTCTGCATCTTCGCGTGTGAATGCTGTGTGCCGCGTCTGATTCTTATGGATGTTAAACGTTGCTCTCCACTGTTCGGGTATGTGACCTAGCCTTGTATGTCTGCTGTCGCGCCGCGTCCCATGTGGGTGGCAACTGTCTGCACTGGTCCTTGTTGCGTGTTGGTCTTTAATGTATTCGTTCAGGCTGCTGCTGAAGCCGTGCTGGCGCCAGGCTGCTAACCTTCAGCGTTCTTACTTGGGTGGGCTATGGTATGTGGGTTCTGCGCATGGCAGATTCAAGTCATTCGTTGATAATGAACAATCCAATAATGCAATCTACCTAGAGCATCGTAGAACTTGCTGTCCCCCTCCCGGTGTTTTCCATTGCGCGTGCGCAATGATGTATGTCTCTTCCTGGTAATCATAATCCTCCTGTCCTGAAAAGTCCCGTGCCTAGGTGGGTGTACAATCTGCCATTGCCGATATGATCGAGTTCATTTACCTAGTGTTTTCACCGGCATCATTTGATGTAAACTCATGCTTCTGGTGCCTCGTTTCCTCTCGTGGGGTCTTTCCTTCGTGGTCCGTTGACCATCTTGATCGTTCTGGGGCCTGAGGCTACTAAGTTGCTGGTGAAGCCGAACGCGTCATCTAAGGCCGGCAGGGCTCTTTCCGTCCAAACCTACACTTATCACCGTCTCTCCGTTGGAGTGTCAAATGCTTCGGAAATGTTTTCCGTCTTGCGTTTCTATTGGGCTTTGGATGTGTTGTGGTGAAAACACAAGTTGACTGCTATTTCTCGATACTACTTGTTTGTTGCCAGATCCAATATCCCTTATAAAACATATATAAAATCGACTAATCAGCAACACCACACCAAACATATCGAATTTGATAGGAAATTCTTACTCGAGGCACAGTTTACTCCATACAAGGTAACAATTTCAAACATCGGGCGAATCAGTATCCCACGAACCAAAGGGTCGCATGCAGTACACGCTGGCCAAGGGGGTACCAAATTGGAAATCAGCGTAGGCGTCTCGCAAAAAACTCAACAGCAGCTGAGATGATTGAGAGTGGGAGAATACGAGCCACAAGCGCGTATGGTACGGTCTCTTGACCTGCAAGGTTGTTCAAGAAGTGTTCCAGCAACTGGTCACCCAAATGGGGTCACAGGCCCAAAGTCGCCAACGGAGCAGGAGAGTACAACAAGAGAGAGAACTACCTGCTCGAACTGTCTCTAGGCACAGCAGGACAGTGTCATCTCAGCCTCGCAATCATCCCCGAGCAAGCAGCACGCGCTGCGGCAAAATGCAAAGTTCACGACCAGCATACCTCGATGCCAACCTAGCACAAGACCCAGAACATGAAACGCACGGCCATGGTTAGACACTTGGTATATCATGTAGTATTGCGAGTAAATGCAGCTAGAAATGCGCGATGTGTTCGTGCGTGGTCCACGGGATGTGGACTCGCGCATCGTCGTCGCTGAACCACCGACGTGCCCTATGGCACAGCCTAAAGACCCTGTCGTGATAGCTCGAAGCCCTGAGCCTGCGTAGAATTCCATCCGAATAGAGACAAAAATGGCGCGAAGACAAGTGCGGCCCGTCGGCAACGTATATAGGCCGAATCAAGGCGTCGGTTGTTTGTGCCAACTACACCAGCATACGCTCTGGACACTGGGATATCCAGACTTGCGGAATTGACAGGCGCATATGAGATCTCACTGCACAGCGTACCATATGCAATAAACAGCCGAGAGAGACTTGATTATACTGCAAGGTCAGTAGATGATCATACTACTGCGCCGAAGTAACTCGACGAACATGATTTTCTGCAATATCCTACTTCGGCTTCTCTACCCATGTCCTCGACTTGACATGGAGATTCAGTGCAAGCCTAGTCATCAGTGTGAAGGTGATATGGAATGATACTATGTTCCATTGGGTAGCTTGCACGGGCATGAATGATGGCCGGCCACATCGGGTGCCTCCTTGTCAAGACTTTGTCGGACTTCACCTCAACTGCACGCCAGATGGGTGCTTCCTGACCAACAAGCATCGCGCAGGAACGAGGCACCACAGAATCGGGGTTGAGATCAGGTAATTATCGTATATACCCTATCAATGTCGTCCGATGCCCTGACTGGGCCCGGATAGCTTGCAGCTTACCACATCGCACCTTAGAATTGCACAGGTGATCTGACCAAATCACTGTCTCGACGGCCTCTTCCTCCACTAGCTATGATATCCCCCATTATCATCACATATACTCGCCACGGACGGGTTCAAAGCCTCCTAGATGTCGTATTCCCCAAAAAAACAAATAACTACACAAAAGCGCCCAAATAGCTCATCACTGTATTGGTGGATACGTGGCCTGATGATGTGCCGAGCCTTGACATAGTGAACGTCGTGAAGCAAGGCCGTTCCGGAATCGCGGAGAGTCGTTCGAGAATGATGTGCCCAAATCGCGCCGATGTACTGAAACGTTAGCACTTGGATGGAATATGGACGATACTTGGCAGAGTGGGTGATACAACCACCCATCGCTCAGCACATGCATCAACGGCGTCCTCTCTTCATCACCTCAATCCTTATGACTGGTTTACCCCAAGGGGTCCCGCGGGACATTTGCAGTATAAGAGTATACCAAGGGGGTTGACTAGGCTGAGCAGCAGTCGTGATGGTAGCGAAGGTAGACATAGGTAGCATCTTGAGATTTTTGGAGAGGACCGATTGGTTCCTCACTTTGCCGGACGAATCTCGCACAGCTGGCGGAACACAGTCATCAGCAAACTGAAAGCCGTCTGAAACCGAGTCTACAAAACGAAGAAACAAAGTCAAGGGCATCGTGGCGTTTCGCCGTCACTCGTACCCGGCAATTCACAACGGGGCTACTTCCACTATCGACCTTACTCCCGTACATGGCCCCGATATCGCTTTCTGATCCCCCTTTCACCGAGGCGAGGTTGTAGAACGACGGCCCGTGACTACCTAAGCTTGAAGTAGGGAAAGATGAGTCACGAGCGTGCGCGGCAGCAGCCCAATAGGGAGGTCGTCACGCTTATGCGTAGCAAGAACGGAAGTGTCCGAGTTTGATGACCCAACCTGCTAACAAGTCGCTCTTACAGAGACATCGGGTTTGCCTGGAAGTAAGGATCAATACGGACGCCACTGAGAGTCCGGCTCATCATGAGACCGAGGCTCAGACTTAAGCAACGTCGAGGCACCCTGGCGATATAGACGAGGAAGCCAGCAGCTACGGCGATCACATTGACAAAGCTAGGCGAGTGATGGCTACTAGTCTTGCGAGGGTAAGACTTCACCTGGTTGGCTAGGTACAGACCAGTAGGCATATGCTAAATATTTCCGAGGACACTTGTGTGGCTGAAGGTGGTGCAAAGGGGAGACGGAAGCTAAGCCACAAGCTTAACATGTTCCTGGTCAGTGCGAGAGGGGGAGGCAGCCCGAGTTGTGGAATTAGAAATTCGGGGGTCGGGAAGGAGGTGGTATCCGAGGAGCCGGGATGGGTTCGATGGCGACACAGGCAAGTTGATTTTTGAGAAATGGTGATGTTGTCAAAAGTGAGCTAACTGGCAGGATGGACAGTCATCTTAAGTGGACTGTGGAAGCCAGGTTAGCCCGACATAGCAAAACTAGCCCGAAGGTGGACGTATTTCTGGGCCTTGCCTACATAAGGTAAGGAACGTAGGTCACCTGTAAGGTGATGAATGTGCAGGCATTACTTCGGATGGTGCCGACCGCGCAAGATGGAAAAGTTGAGAAGCATTGGAAAGCAAGATGCAAAAGTTGATGGGCCCGGTTAAATGCCGGCTGACATGTTGCAGATCTTCTAAGCCCTCCCGCGGACAATCAGGGTCTTCCTTGACCGTTGGGGGAATACTAGCGCAGCGCCGCGAGCGCACAAGCCGAGGGGAGGTGAGCCCTGAGTGCTGTCACTGGCGGATGGGAGCCACGGAATCCACTAAATTTAGAATTCCGACAGGACCCTGACTCAACTTCTCCACGGAACGGAACCCGGCCGCCTGGGCCAAGGAATGGATCTGCGCCGCCAACGGAGAGATCTTGCACTCTGGGCAGCAGTGGATCCAAATGATGTCCTTCTTTTCGCCACCTGCCCTGTTTCGCGCATACCTGTGTGCCTGTGTATGCACCTGATTTTCCCCTTTCTTTGCTTGCCGATTCACCCACTCTCGTGTTGAGTTCGGCATCGTCGTGCTGAATTTGGATCCCTGGGCTTGGGCACCCACGTCTCAAAATTCCTAGACGTATCCGTAGTCATTATCTAGATGCCAATACTTCCTTAATGTAGGTACGACACAGTCATGTTTCGTGGTCCATGCAGCCGGGCATTACTCAGTGGAGTAGTGTGCAGTCGGGATGGATCCTGGACTCTGTTATCTGTCTGTCTGCTAAGGAACGGATGCTGAACACACGTAAACGTTGCTCTACGTCTCGCACGTTTGATTTTGTTCTAGGTAAAGTGAAGTTAGTCTACCCGAGTTCTCGACCTGGTTAAGTGAGGATGTAGTAGGCAACACAGCAGCGGATATGCCGGACTGCGCCGTTGGTCACGATGCACAATATGAGAGTAGAAAAGATGGCACCGTGCAGTGATGTCTCAATCAGGTACTAATGGCCAAGCATGGGGGGTCTCCTCGGAGCCGGACACAAGCTGCGGGTTGCACTTGGATGCCGCAAGAAAGTGCGGAAACAGAAGTTGGATTCCTCATCGTATTCGTGAATAGTGGTCCTGATATTCCGTACGATCTGGGAGGGTGGGAGGCCCGAGGTGGCAGCTAGAAGCTAGGTGCCGGAGCCACCGATGCGTGCAGCGTTGGGTTGACCGGTGCGGAGTACGGACATCACGCGGATAAGACCCACAAGAGGTTCATTTGTAAGCATGGCCACACTCCCATGTGGCTCTCAACTTCTGAGGTAGTGTGGGTGAATGCGGGTAGTCTCGGGTGGTGGGGCGGCAGTTCCGTCTCAGCTGTGGTCACGTAAGGTCTACATACTCCGTGCCCAGTGCCGGTGCCTTTGCATAGGTTTGTGGCTTAACGCCGATCGCTGTTTCGGCGTCAGCCACACCTCGGAGCAGTCACATTGCTGATTGGTCAGCTTTATTGTGCCATTTCGCCCACAGTGTTGCGTTTGATAAATTGATGGCTAACAGACAATGGCCAATCTCTGCGTTTCAGCAACGCAAAAGGGACCAAACAAAAGCAAAAGCTATGGAACCTACCTTAGCACGCGGTGGTAAAATATGATGGCCGGTTTCTGTGCTACGCTACCGTAATAGAAAGCGGCCATCATTACTTGCTACCGCGTGCTTAGGTACGGATAGGTAAACGAGGGCTGAATACCCCTGGATGACAGAGAAAATCTTAAGACATGGAGAAGCCGAAGACTGGGCCGGACCATGCACTTGGCTGCATGCAAGAGAAAAGATCGAGAATTTTCCCTTTCCCGCATTTTCCTGCAGGCCTGCACGGGCTCCTCTTGTCTGTTTTTCGCCGGATTTGCACCAACCAAGTGGTCCGACAGCCAGCTTGCCTGCCTGTCATGTCTCTCTCCCACCTCTCGGCATCGGCAGCATCGCTTCTCGGCCATCGCGGCATCGTTGTCAATCCCTGCATCAGCCAAGTTTCCTCTCTTGTTGTTAGTCGTTTGCCGTAAGACTTGGTTTGCTCTACACTTCTAAATCCTCACGCTATACATGTAGACTTGTATTCAAAGATGCTACTTCGAACCTGACGGACCTAATTCGGTGTATTCCATGCGCACCCGCCAGGCGTGGTAAGCTTTGGTCAGCTTTGCGGATGAGTCAGTAGGATCTTGTTTTTGAGTACACAGAATAGAGAGAAACTTATGAGTGATCAATGAGCCACTTTGCCATGCTCGCTCATCTCATGCTCGACATGATGGGCCCGGGCAATACAGTGAGGGACGCGCACGCATCTTAACAAAGCACTGCAGAGAGGAGTCGAGTTCCTTTTCTGATGATGCCGTGAAGTTCAGCTCATACAATGGGATGGAACCCCCACGAACGTACCCCCCGGCACAACAGGGAGTGCCAGCCCTCGAGGTTGGTTTGCTGGTACAAATAAGCATGCATGCGACTAATATTGCAGGCCGCGTGCCTCGCGGTGTGCGACGCAAATTTCTTCATGATTCTTTAACTTTTGGACACTCACGCACAGGGCCGTATTCGTGCAATTGAGACCCCCGAAAGTTCCAACGGCTGGACCGGCCGACGGATGAGTTAGGCCCACCCCACGGCCGACGGAACGGGGTCGAGACCGCTCTAGGTCTTCAGAGACCCGGGTGGGGCACTCTTGCTACAGCGACGCTGAACATGGTGGTAGCTGCAATAGACGCGACCTGGCAATTAAGAGCGATGAAGTATCATGTAAAGTTTGATACGAGAGGAATACGACGAAGGCCGGAGCACAACCCTCAGGTGACAATGGAAAAAATAAGAGTCTGTAGCAGCGTGTTACGAGGCGTAGTGAAGAGGGTCTCGTCCAAGTCACTTCCTCGGCAGCTAAGAATCGAAATCCATTACGCCTAGAGCTGGCGCGGCTACGGCTGCGGCTGCTGGGAGGAGTCATCGAGCAGACTCATCCGTCAGCTGGCATTGCCAGCATGACTGATTCGTGGCATTCATAGCCCCGTCTCTTGGACGCTGCGCGCGGAGGGCAAGGACCCAGTCCAGCGCCCCGGTTCAAGCTTGACAATGCGAGCGCATTCCCGCATTCTCGCATCCCCTGGCAGTTTGGCACTCTGAGTGAGAAGGGCGGACATGGCCACAGTGGTTATGCGAGGAAATCCGCTCGGCCCGACGTGCAGGTGGGCAAGCCACATTGAAGATCGGCATGTGTGGCTGGAACATGCCTCGGTACCTATGCACTATAATGCTCTTTGGCGACCACCGGCCATGGGTGGCCTGTCTTTCTCGTGGTTGAGCCACATCACTGAGACGAGAGCACGAGTCACAAGTTCAGAGCAAACACGCCTATCCGAGGACGCGGGGGTGTACATTATAGGGAGGTATACGGATATAGTGGTCCGGAATGATGACCGAACGTGGTCGTCAAGAATGCGTAGCAACCAGCACTGCCCGGCCACATCTCAGCTTCCAAGTTGCGGCGTGCTGCCAATGTCCTATCACACCACTATTGCTATGCAGAATAACTGGTGGATACGTCGGACTGTTACGAATACCGAAGGCTAATGGCAGATGACCATGCTGTTCAAAGTTATTGATCGTGGACAGACAGGGCTCCTAGCAGTGCCGGCGCATTCGAGCTGTTTTATGAGATGTGTTGCGAGGAAACAAATTACCTGAACAAAAGTCTTGCGGACTTGCAGTGATGCATAGCCGTAACGTAGTAAGGTACCTAAAGTAAGGTGATTGGACGACGGAGGACAATTGAGCACGTGCAGCAAGATCCTGTCACCCGCCGGACGGAAAAACGCACACAACCAAGAATCTAACAGCGCTTATAGAAGACATAAAATTATATCAAAAAACCCACAATAACCAGCAGAAGACGAGACACTTTTCAGTTATTTTTCTTTCTATGATTTTGCTCTGAACATGTAGCATAATTAAGCTACCATAATACTACTAGTGTAAGTATATTGTTAGTGCTCGGTTTAAGGTGTGCGCATTTTTTTGTCCGGCGGGTGCCTGTCTTCCGTTGCTGTACCTATACTATGACGTTGGCTGTTAACTCTAAGTGGTTCTCACACTCAGACTCAGTCAAACCTCAACCAGATGGATCGGTTAGGCAAGGTTTGGATAGTATGCTTACTTTAGCCAAAACCGATACGTGCCAATGTGCCATGAGCAAGGTTACAAAAGGGAGCCCGGCACCAGCCACCAGCCACCAGCATATGATAGGAACGTTAGTTGTTGGGTTCATCAGCCTGACCAGTTTGTTCTCTGATTACAAAGGTAAGGGCCATTGTGAGATCACGGGATATGACATCATCTATAAGGTACGTCGTTCCGATGAGAAACAAGTAGTCGTTACTGAACATGAAACGTTACGATCGTTTGTCATCGACAGAGGATTTTAGTCAACATGCCGATGCGAAAGATGTCCGTTATTGTTGCACATTTTCAACGATGTATGCAGTGTAGACCAAAACATACCTGTATGGTGTCCTTACCCTAACTGACTTGCTTATCTCCCCAGATTTCTCATAGAGCACTGCCGCATTGGAGTGCGCTGGAGGTGCACGAATGGGAGATGGCGATGACAGGGGGGGGGGGCGATCGGGCATTCGTTCTACCCAGATATAGAATCTTCGCTTCGTTTATCGATGGCCTGTACCTGCAGACGACAACCACGAGGCCGAGGCCAGAGAGGAGGCGCACTGCATAATTAGAAAGCGCCAGTTTCTACGGGCAAGTGAATTGACACGTTGACACATTGCGTGATTGGGTGGCTTCTCTCGGCTTGAACAAGACTGGATAGTTGAGCGCTGAACCGACGGTGTGGCAGTGTGGCTGAGCACGATGCCTTTGGCCAATGAATGCAGCGCACCTGTAGGATGGAAGCATCCGCACCAGCGGTCTCGCTCTTTTGTTTCTTCTGCTCTCTCGTCTCGCGGGCCCTCGCTTCGCGGGGTTCTCCCCTTTGGACCGCGGGGCACAAGCGACATTCTCTCTCCGTCCTCCGAGGCTTCCCCGAAGAGAAATTCCAAGAAACTTTTTTCCCCTTCCCCCTCACCCTCCCTTTCGGGTGCCTGCATCATTTTTTTTTTGTCAAAACCGGCACAGACTGAGGTCATGGCATTTTGGCCTCGAACCCTTGTTCCCTGCCTGACCGCGCCCACCAAACACTCCCATCACACCCACATGAACAACCATGATCCAGCCCGACAGGACCCTTCAAAACATGCAGCCTTCGTGGGGCCACGGCATGGTAGAAGCGACCGGTGCAGCGAGCATGGAAGCGATCTTCGTCCCCCCTCACTCTTCCCTGAACCGGTCCGCCCACCCTTGACCATCGGCGTTTGCCCTCCAGGGTGGGCTGGCACGGCCGGAAACTGCGCAGTCACGCAGTGAAGGAGCTTCGGTACGGATTCTGCTGTGGGTTCTTGGATGACATCCATCGCTTGCAGGCCAAAACCTCGGATAATGGTCATTGCCATAGCATGTTATTAGTGTCAGTGCTTGATCACATACTGTGTAGAGGTCAGGTTATCGCAACCAGGTCTGGGTATATCTACATCAGGTAGGTGCCTAGGTAGGTACCTACAAAATATGGTACTAGGAAAGGTATATACTCCGTCCGGATATGCATACTTGCGAAAGGAGCTTGGAACTGGAGATTCTTATCTCAATTCTCCCCACCTTGTGTCGGCCACCTTGAACGAAGAAATGATCTCTGACGATCAATCGCCTGTGAGAGATAAAGCCTGCAAGCACGGTGACGGATGGCCCGTGTTGGTCCAGGAATAAGATGCACCCGTGTGCCATCATCGAGGGACTCTGGGATATGTAATACATAGTTGTAACGTGGTAAAGGTGTGCATACCTACAAAGTGTGTGCGTTCCAGCATGTCATCGGGTGGGCCTACCGGGCACCCCATCGATCCCTCCCACTCTCCTCATAGTGACACAGTAGGTTCTGCACCACGGGAATCGACGACCAGGTATCGACTAAGGTGTAATACTGCCACTGCGTAAGTACCTATGAACCTGTGAGGTAAGGCACTCCGTACGTAGGTGAGCGTCTCCGATAGGTACGATACCTAGGTGATTAGATACCGGTTCTTACTAAGGTATGTATCCGTACCCACACTACCTTGCCATGTCGGCGAGCTTTGAGACCTCAGTGGTCCCAACCCTTCGCCCTACGTCACTCCACCAGCCCTCGACGGGATTATCGATGTCGTTCCGTCGCCGGAATGGAGTCCACCTACGTCTTGATCGCTGTTTCTCATGACCCTTTGAGTGCAACCACCCGCTCAGCGCAGCATCAAGCGCAAGCCTAGCCGAACACCCTGCCTTGTCTTGAGTGTCCTGTCTGCGAGCCTGCAAAGGGGTGGAATCGAATGAGAGCAACGTCTGTCTCCTCGGATTACTTCCGTGCTATCTCCCGCCTCGCATCTTCCCGCCTTGTCCGTCTCGCTCAACCCACAGTGCGTGAGTGCCACGACCAATGTTTGTCTTGTTACGGAGTATGCTTACTCATCATTGGTTAAGTTGAGGGGTCCAAGCTGGCGAAATCAGTCGTCTGCGGTGCTGCGGACAATATACTTGTTGGGTGAATGACAATGATCCCTAAACCCAAGAAACTTCCAGAGGCTTCGAGCAAGGCCCCTCGTCATTTCCATTGCACTGCCGTACCTACCTTACGCTGCCTCACGCTGCATTGCAAATTGGTGGTCTATTGCCCACACCCGCTTTCTGCGTATCTACCTACTGTAACTTGCTCCGCCTTACTGCGTGCGAATCACACTGGGCCATGGCTGTTCTCGATCTGTCTTTCCATCATGTGACTCAATTTTTATCCGCGTCAGCTGTTTAGTAGTCCGTTGTTGGGAGCGTACTATTCCGTCTGCCTGCGGCCAATTCAGCGACGTCCCGCTGGTTCTTTCTGCGTTGTCTCCGCATAATTGGGTTATAGACCTCGGCGCACTTCCTTTGCTGCCTTTTACTACTCCGTGCGTTGCTCACACGATGTGCATCGAAAGGCCAAGATAGGGAAATGTGAGCTAATAGTAGGTACGAATGTCGACTTGGGGGAAAGGAAATGAATTACGAATATGCGCCTTGCCTAGATTCGAGGGCAGTACCAAGTGAGCCTTTCTCGCGCTTTTTGCTTGCCTTATGCGTGTCACATTGCAAGTGCATTATTCAAGCAAGTGCTTGCTCGCTGGGCTGCTTGATAGTGACAAAAACTCAAAACCCCCGGTTGGGCCGTTGTTGGTCATGAGGTTCCTCGACCTTCTAGCGAATGGAATCGAGGACGAAAAAAATGCAAGGACTCATACCGCATGTTCTTGTTCGACTTGGTCATCATCCCACACACCTGAAAATTTTCTCCCTGTCTCTCCCCCCCTTCGGGCCCTCCCCTTCCTGCGTCCAGACCTTAAGGTGTTCTCCCCGGTCCCGATCCCAAGGCCCCCCTGTAACCCTGCTCTACTTACCACACTGATCCCATCCCCGGGACCGCCAGCACAACTTGTCCAAGCCTCGGGTCCTCCACCCGGTACCTCCGCTCTTCGTCCGCGTTGCGAGGAGCAGTACGTACCCACAGCGCGCTACCTTACCGCACACCCTGGCCCTTCCATTCTAAGCCCCATAGCCCTCTAGGGTACGTACCTGGCCAGCTACCTCATTGCATTGCAAGTCCCCTACGTAGTGCTACCAACCCGCTGCCTCTCTTTAGTCTTTCCATCTTTATAAGTCATCGTCCCTCCGTGGTTTGCCACTCACTTGGCCCCTCCTACCATCACACCTACAAAATATCTAAACTTCTTAACTACCACATCATGCTGTTGACCCGACCCACTGCTTCACAATCAATCCAGCAACATCAGCAACAACAATTCCAACAACCTTACTCCGACCTACACCACCAGTATCAGACACAATCACAACATTTCTACCCTCACTCGATCGATTTTGACCTTGAAGGCTCCTTTGACGACACTGCTCCCGACCTCACCTCGTCGAGTATATCCTCGTCTCCGCTCTCGACTCAATCCTTTCTCCCTTCCCATTATTCTCTGGCAAACAACTCGGCAAGCCTTGCAAGTTACGACACGTCCCATCTGACCGTCCCAAGACGATCAGCGACAAGCACTTCAGGCTTCGAAGAATCTGCTTTGAACCACAACCATCAGCAAAACCTCATGCAGTCAGACGCCTGGGTACTCGGGAATCAGTACGCTCCCAAGACCGGTGGTCGACTACCTCATCAGCGGGAGTCATCTTTGTCTTCACTCGGTTCAGCCGGTCCCGCATCACCCTTCAGTCACAGTACAACGAATCCCCAAATCGCGGTAACAGATTCGACACCCGACGTTCTGTACGACATGCAGGCTCACGACGGTAATGCCTTCTACCAGTTGTCCAACAAGTCAATGGCGGTGTCCCACGACAACATGTATCCCAACTACAACGGACTGCAGAACATATCGTCGGACATGGCCGGCTACGCCTCAGCCTTGAGTGTTCAACGACCACGATCTGACCGCGGGTTATTACCTGCGCCTGAACTCTCTATGGCTGGTAGCAGATCTCACCCAAACTCTGTGGCAAGCTCCATTGCTGGAGACTCACCCGCAACACCGTCACAACTCGAGCACGAAGATGACAGGCGGCGGAAAGCTGGTAAGCAATTTTCCATGCAAATGTCTGGGAATAGAAGCTTACTCAATGTTTTCGACACAGTTTTCAGCAACGTACCCAAGCTAGACCGCACGATGACAGACATCTATAATGATGAACTGTATAGCCCCAATTTCACCATTACCTCGGCAGCTCCGGCTCAAAACCACATGGCTGTATCTCCTAGCAATGACGTGTTTGCGCAACGACTTAGCGCTGCAAACAACCAGCACTTGAGTGCAGCACAGTCGCCAGTCTCTAGTGTGTCACGCGACCGTTCGCCATTCCGTCAGGGTTCACCGTTGGCACCGATGCCCAGTCACGACTTTGGTGGAGGTGTTCAGGCCTCTCGTCTACGATTCAACTCGGCTCACCAAATCCGGGAACAGAAGAAGGCGGAGCAAGATGCACAAATTATGCGACAACAAATGTCTGTAAAGTCGGAGCCGGAAACCCCGAAAACTATCTCTCCAAAAGACGCGATGCTCGAATTCCACGATGGCGATGCCGAATCATCATTTTCACTCTTTCCATCTCAGGAGACGGTGGATTTTGAAGACATTGCAAAGGCAGTGGTCACGCAGGACCAACAGGTCAATTTTGCGAGGTCTGCCATGCAAAATGGGGCAGCTTTCCCTTATATGCCCGCTCAGCTTCAGACCGCTGTCCACATTCCACAGCAGTACCCATTCATTGCTCATCCACGACAATCTCATGAGCAGATTCCTCGGCTTAGCTCTGCCGAGTCAAGCACTGGGGGATCCGATGCTACTTCGACTTCAAATGCGGTACCGACAACCAAACCTGTAGGTGCTACTGCCGATGGCGGTACTTACACTTGTACATACCACGGCTGCACCATGCGATTCGAAACCCCTGCTCTGCTGCAAAAGCATAAGCGTGAGGGGCATCGGCAGACTCAGGGTATCGGAGGGCCCAGAAGACCTGAAGCAGTTGCCGCATCCCCCGACAGCATCCTCAATAGTCAAGCCGGACCTCACCGCTGCGATCGTATCAATCCTAGCACGGGCAAACCGTGCCACACAATCTTTTCACGCCCGTACGACTTGACTCGTCACGAGGATACCATTCACAATGCGCGGAAGCAAAAGGTGCGCTGCAATCTTTGCACCGAGGAGAAGACGTTTAGTCGTGCCGATGCGCTCACGCGACACTACCGAGTCTGTCATCCGGATGTTGAATTCCCAGGCAAGCACCGACGCCGGGGGCATAATGTCTGAATGCGCTACGTCTACAGGCCATGACACACAGCTCGGATGGTGTCTGCTTCGCGGCGGCTTTACACTGGTCCAGTTGGCAGAAGAATGCGCCGACCTCCGAGGAAGCTAATGGTCTACCCAATTATCGACAATAGCGTGCACCATCCCCGAGCATGAGGAGTGAATCAGGGATGCAGGACAGTCGGGCGAATCAACAGGGGTGGAAATTCAGGGTCCTCGATGGTGCAGTAGGGGTCGTGCAACATGACATCACATAGTCCGTGCGCAACGACCCTGACGATCCATATGACCCGTAATGACATCATTTACCCGCCATTTCCTACTAGGTTCACATCGCCAGAAGTCGTGCAACTTGCCCGACTCCACTCAGCGACATCATCATGAGTCTTGGCATCATCATCCACCTCTGCCTGAGTTCATCAAATCGGGAATTGATGGGACGAGTTGGGGAGGATGGATGATCATGACATTATCTATGCTCCTGCCACAGGCTCCTGCATTCAATTTCACGCCATATGGACGGTCCCGACCAGCCCCGACTCGGAAACTTGTGGTTCTTTACCCAGATGATGCAATCTACGGCCTTAACCACTGCTCGGACGGGGCTTATGCATTTCTTTCCCTTTTGAGAAGCAGCGTTGTTTTAACCGCTTCCATCAATTACTTTACTTTTGCGATGGGTTTGGGACTGGACACTGAGCGAGTCTTTCACATCTCCCATTCTTCCACAAGACGATTGTGTATGACATGTTGTACATTATGTTATTATGGTCCAAGTCGAGACCACAAGGCTAGAGAAAAAAAAGGTTGGGGAGGGAATGGGATGTCCTAAGGGCACGCAGGCGTGGTTGGTTTTACGAATGTGATGATGAGGGAGGAATGATGCATTATAGAAATATTAATATGTAAAACACCACCCCCATACTGATCCAATGCCCGGCCTTGATTCTTATCGGTCAACACTTGTCTCCTGCTACATACGGAATTGGTTGACAAGTGGCTGAAAATATCACAGAGAGACTTAGACTATATCCCTTCACGATGATGCTCAAATGCACATTGACTAGACAAGCACATAATACTCTATGTTTGAAATAGTTGTTCGCCATTTCTTAGGTGAAGTCCCAAAGTCGGTTATCTACTCAGCAACCGAGTCTGTATGGTCGATGCTAGTCCCTAGAGCTCCTTCCTCTACTCTAGCAACCATAGCTATCTACGAAGCACCAATGATATTTGGTACGCACGTTCAATGGTCGGGTCCTGCAGCGTGCCCTAGCCATCCTACGCCGCTTCCTCGCCCAAGACGGCTGCGCGAGCAGTCTGGTAGAGAGGGGTGATATCCGTCCATTTCTGGAACTAAATTGAATCCAAGTTAGCTTCCTATGTCACGTTCATCTACTTGGGTGCCACGTTTCCACCGTCCACAAACATTCACTTACCTGGTACCAGCCCTGAGCTGAGAGCACCTCGAGGCCAGGGATGGTCTCCCACCCGGCGTCCTCGGCCAATTGCATCAGTGGTGTATGACGAGGCTGGTAGGCCATCTCAAGAAGGACGCGTTTCCTATCGACTGTCGTGTCTTGACGCAATACCGCCATGAGAGTTTCTCGGAGCGAGGGATCAACTGGCTTGTCGGCAGGGATCGTGCTGATCATAACGGTAGGCGAGGATGCTAGTGCAGGAACTTCGCTGGCACTCTTGAGAGCTTCGATCCGATAATCCGAGGGGAACGACGCCTTCAGGGCTTCCAGGTTGCCACTGTTGCGTGCTAGAGCGTAGATAGGCCCGAAGCCAAGTGCGTGCAATGCGAAGATGGCGGCTCTTGTTGTTCCGCCTGAGCCAATAACAATGGCAGAAGATTCAACGTCTTCTGTCGATTGGGACGAAACACCTGCCGACTGAAGAGAGTGAACCATACCTGACCAGTCAGTGTTGTCACCGATGAGCTTAGCCGTGTCTCCGCTGGTTGATACTGGGATGATAGTGTTGACAGCGCCAATGATGCGAGCAGCCTCCGAGACTTCGTCAATTTCCTTCATAATGTCGAGCTTGAGCGGGATTGTCACGGAAGCGCCGCCAAAGTCGGGAGCTCGGATCAACTCGCGTACATCGGCCGCGTCAGTCGTTTCTTTGCGCAGGTAATGGTGCGGCAATCCGACCAAATCGAACAAAGTATTGTGCAGAGCAGGTGATCTCGATGCTGCAATGGGACTACCGAAAAGATAGTAGGTTTGCGGGTTAATGTCACCAAGCAACGCCAAAGCTTGCCGGATCTCGGCCGCGGACAACTGCCCCGGGGCTGCTTTGAATGGCAAACTGGGATGGGAGACAGGGGTGAGGCAGCCGTTCAGGACACGGCTGAGCTTTCCAGCTTGCCCCATGTTCAGCGCAATGATCGGGATTTTGTGCGAAGACAACATCTCCAACTTGAATTGGGCTAGGTCATAGTTGTCTTCAATTCGTTTGGCGACACCAACCAACTTGATCACGTCACCCCATTGAAGGGCCTTGTTGTAGAAGGGGATCCAAGAACCATTCTTCCAAGACAAGTTGCCCTGAGGATCATGGTGGGAGGCAATGATACGCGCGGGTCCCTTGTTCTCCACGACTGCTCGAATGACTCGCTCTGGGAGTGTCATCTCGACATCGATGAACTCAACCCCCATGCGGATTGCTTTTTGGTACAGACCAAGGGCTTGATCATGGGCGTCATCGGGGAACTTTCCACCCTGAGACAGT